GGACCCCGTTTCAGACCCACTACTTCTCAGAAAACGCAGTAGCGCCGGGACCTCTGGATCTGTAGCCAGGAACTCTGGCCACTAGAACAGAGGCGGTCATATATACATACAGAGTGTAACTGTAAGGTACGGACAAACTCTGAGCACGAGTTCCACATAGCAAAACAAGAAAGAATGTCCATATCAACATGTGTCCGGAAACATTTAATTTGCAAGTTATAGCTTAAAGAGTAGTGTGTAGACATCAGCAGCAGTTCACCATTAAATGTGTGGGCAATGACTGCTGCTGTTTGGTAGGCCGCACGCTTTTGCCACATCGGCTTACAGGCGACCACTACCGAGATTTCCTCTCACATAATCTGCTAAAGCTACAGGAAGATGTCCCACTGGCAGCAGAGGGCGAATGTGGTACATGCAAGATGGTGCTCCGGCCCATTCTAGCCGCGCTGTGAAAGATGTTCTCAATAATAGCTATCATGAACATGGACAGTTAGAGGATGACCCACTGCATGGCCTTCAAGCTCGCCAGATCTGAATCCTCTGGATTTTTACCTGTGGAGACACCTAGAAACCCTTGTGTATGCAGCCCAGGCACTTACCCCAACGCATTGTGGATGCTTGTCAGACTATCAGCGACAACTCCCGCATCTTAGAACGGATGTGGCTGTCCATGATAAGACGTGTCGAGGGGTGTATTGAATCTCATGGGGGGCATTTTGAGTGCTTATTATAAATGTGCTCTTCCAGTTATAACTCACGAATTATATGCTTCCGGACACATGTTGATATGGATATTTTTCTTGATTTGGTATCTGTAATTTTGTTTGCATCCTATAGTTACGCCCTCTCTATATATTATCATGTATATGAGTGACTGGCTCTGGGGTCCACCCAACCTCCTATCCAATGGGTATCGGGGGCTCTTTTCCCGGGGGTAAGGAGGCCGGGGTGTGAAGCTGACCACTAACCTCCAGCTAGCGCCGAGTTCAAGAAAACTAAACCAAAGTCAAAGTCACATTGCGACTGACAGTAAGTCTTCCTGTCGAGCCCCATTTGGGGCTCATGACCAGATATTTATTACTGTTTGACAGTTACAGTCTTGTTTTTGTGGGGTGCCCTCTCTCACTAGAGGATGGGTCTGCCTTCTGTATATGCTGCTGGTCCTTACCAGCGCAGCCTTTCTCGAGTCTGAGTCCCTAGGGTTTCATGGCCGTAGTTTTCTGTCTCAGATTTCAGACTTCCCTTTTCGTCGCCTCCTACGACTCGCAGGGTCACGGTGGAAGTATTTGAAAACGCCTCCGCCCGGGTTATAGTCACGTCGCGACTGACGGTCAGTCAGGCAATAAGTCTTGGTGTCGAGTGCAATTTAGGGCTCATGACCAGATATTTATTACTGCTTCGTTGATTCAAACTCATCTGCTTATAACATCTCGGCATGGACCACATAGAAAACACCGTTCTTCCGTTGTACTTTTGGTGTCCTTTGCCTCGAAAACGTGTTTACCGAACCGTTGCTTAGAAACGGCTTGCATAAACCCGTTGTTATATTGTTGCGTACGTGTATGTTGCGGGAGTTAACCTAGCGACGGCCGCTGTTTACAGAATCACTGCTTAGCAAAACGTCTATACGCCACAATATTCTCCGACTTCTCTACGGGCTATTCCTCCTGTCATCTGCTAGAAGCCATATCGGCCTAGCGCCGTGGCAACAAGTTACCTAACTCGCCACGCTGGTATAAATTTATCAGTTACACAACTTGTTATGGTACTCTTTTTCTTATCCGACCATCCACACACTGTCAATGTTGTCCCTGTGCTTGACTAATTAAGCACTACGCCGTGAAGACGTGTGGTGTGGCGAATGTAGATATCCACTAATAACTACTAATAACAAGGTAACTTACACAAATAGTTCTTAACAATGATGATGTCACAACAAAGGGCTGTATACGAGTATGTAGATGTGGTGCTGAAATTTCAACAGTTTCAACTTGGCCTGAGACTTCCTCGCTTAACGACATTTCGTTTACATAGACCTTACATTTCATAGACTCGTGCATCACTTACGCAAATGTTGCCCTCTGTAAATTGAGAACGTAGTTGGGATGTCATGTATTTGTCGTCTGCCCTTCTGTCATTTTCCGTCAGTAGGTTCAATCCACGAAACTGAACAAATTTCAATGAAGCTAATTGATGTAGCGCCGGTCACGGTAGCCGAGCGATCTAAGGCATATAGTGACTTCGCTCACTCGGAAGCCGGGATCGTGGGTTCGTATCTCACTCAAAGCATGTATGTTTGGCATGTGTATGTGTTTATTATGTGTTTGTGTTGTCCTGTGTTTAGGTAGAGGCCTTGCGACAAGCTGATCACCCGTCCAAGGAGTCCTACCGTCTGTAAAATGATCATGAAACTGAGAAAGCTCGAAAGTGGGAGCAAGAGGAGAGATGAAAAATTTGTTGTAGCGTAAAAATGCATTAACATAAAACTTTGTTAAAAACTACGACCTTCATTTAAACTTCGTCATGATTTCAAAATTTGATATTAAAACGGTCGGTTAAAACGACACTAAGGTATAATTAATCTTGTGTGCTATACAAGTTCAATTTTATGCAGTTACTAACATTTTGTGTATTATTCATCAACCTGTCCAAAATAAATCTTATAGTTCTGTTTTTCTTTTTAAATTTAACACAGCGTTCCGGAGACTGGATTCTGCCTCCGTTCTCAGGTAGAAAGCCTACACTGTTACGCTCAATCGATAGAACCAGTCTATATCTCTTGACCGGAGAGAGAGAGAGTAGTCATATCGATTGGGTCGAGATGAGTAAGGTTTTACCTGAAGACAGAGACCAGTCTCCGAAACTTGTTTTTTTTTTAATAAAATACAGGAAGATGATGTTCACAGAGTCAGTATTATTAATATATCATCGTCACAAACCTTCTCATCTTATTCAATTTTACGGTTTAGTTTCACGACTTGTATATGTATGATCACATAACTTGCTTTCTTCCCGATATCAGAACTATATCGGTTGTAGAATAAGTGGAAGTACGTCTCTATAGATCTGTCTGTTCGCTCATATTTCAATGAGAGATAAAACCCTTACTGAATTATGTATATTCTATTTGATACCATGTGAGATGTATAGACCGAAAGTTACTGATAGATTTAATCTTGGCTTTTTCTCCATGTTTTCTTTTGTTGCAACTTAGAGAACCAGTGATTTGCATATGTTGGCTGTTTGCAGACAGCCAGACGACTGATCACTGGTTCGCTAAGACGCGTCACAAACATTAATGAAAAGTAGCCATAATTTGTGCTCGCCATGAAACTTAACCTGAACTCTGACCACTTTTATCAGTAGGATTCATCGTACGAACGTTGATACGTAACATAAAACATGAAACTATTGAGATATACAAGTTTTAATTGGAACATCGTTGTATCTGTATGTCGCATTATGGCGTCCAGTTGTGGAGTTTTGCGAGCACTGTTATGAAAGGTAGATAATTTCTTGACCAACTGAGCTTCTCAAGAAGTATTGCTCAACGGATTTATACAGAATTGTCCAGAAGTCAGTCAATCGAAAACATTCCCTCGTATTAACGAGAATGTTCAGATTTAAACCTGTCAGTCAATTTACAGAACGGTGTCAGAGCCTTGTGGATTGTGCATTGAACATGAATGATTTCATTTTGAACAGTTTTGGGGAATTCAGTAAGGTAAAGTTGTTCCTGGGCATGTGCTATCTTCGCTCGCCTGGAAACCGGGATCGTGGGTTCGAATCCTATTCAGGGAATGGATGTTTAGTTTGTGTTTACGCGTTTTTCTGTGTTTGTGTACAGGTAGAGGCCTAGCGACGAGCTGATCACCCACCGAAGGAGTCCTACCGTATGTGTAAGATCTAGAAAAACCGAAGTGAACGAAGAAGTTCATGGATGTAGGCCTAGGCCCACTGGGGCTGTAGTGCCAAGGGGGAAAAAAAAAAGTTGTCCCTGTGTTCAACTAATTAAGCACTACGCCATGAAGACGTATGGGGGAGTGGATGTACAGACCCACATTTTCTTGATCTCGGCACTAGTTGGAGGTAAGTGGTCAGATTCACGCCCCGGCTTTACTCCGGAGGAAGAGCCCTTGGTAGCCAATGGATAGGAGATTTTGTGGATTCCATAGCCGGTCCGGACGATATGGAGAAGTGGAATTCAGTATGTTACAAATAAATTTCTAACATATTTTAGCGTACATTTTACTAACACTTTAACTGACTAAAACTTCAAAGATCCTGAATTTAGGAGACTCACGGGAGTGACCACGGAGAACAGGTGCTGCCCCCTGGGTTGTTACGCCATGCGGGCCAGACCGTCCGTCAACTTCTATTAGACTGCATGGCGTCACATTGCAGAAAACAGTAGAGAACTCTTCAAAGAGTTTCTTCATTTCACTTCGGTTATCGTCTCGTATTGCCATGTAACTCAAACATTCGCTTATCGTCTATAGCTGAACCAATGTGTAATCTTGTTAATATGGTTTACAAATCCATATGGAAAGCAAGGGCATTTAGCCATAGTACTTTATATCGAAATAAATAGGTTATGCTTGTATATAATGCATTCCTTCGTCTCCTAACTATTTCTCATCAATAATACAAGAAAGGTAACTTAGAAAATGTATGCACAGAGTAAAAATTATGCCTCATTCTCACTTTTGTTTAATTATGTCTAATAAAAATAGTAAAAATGTAAAAAAACTCATAAAATAGTACATATTTTTAAATATATAGCAGTACGTTCAATTATAATTGAATTGAATTGAAATATAATTATATTTCAGTTAAATACACATTTAAATAAATTGTTATGTGTAAAGCGGCTGGGAAGTGAAGCTTTGTAAGTATGTATGTATATCTTAACAATTCTGGGACACTTTCCATCACAGATAACATTTCATACACTTATTAAATATATGCATAGATTCGAGATATGAAAAAAGAGCACTAACCTAATTCCTTCGTATTTCCTGAACCTTACCTGACTATTGCACACACGACGCACTGCCGATAGCTCCTAGCTTTCTGACCCGTCACCGTGGTGCCGCGTTATCGTAGTAATAGGATGTGATAACACTGTCAAGTGCCCACCATTTAGTCGATATCTGCCTCTTACTGGCTTTCCCAAATCCTCCATATTCTTGGTGTCACCTTCAGCTGAAATTGTTCTGAGTGCGTCGGCAGAGAATCATGACGAAGGGATAAGCGTATACACTGCCACAACTCGTAAATCCAACTGTAATGATTTAATATTTCCATCAAAATTGGTCCGTGGTTTCGCCAGCAAACAAACAAACAAACTCCGTGGCTTTAGTCCGCAAGCGAACTATACCGACCGAGCGACCGCCGCTTTGTCGGCGAAGTTAGCGCCAACTTTAGCGGATAGTGTGTCGAGTGGTCAGGACAACGAATCCCCACGGTCGTTAATCTCGGATTTCTAGACCAGAGCAGCTATTTACTTGAAATAGCTCCTCAGTTATCCTCGAGAGACTGAGTGAACCCCGTTCCAGACCCACTAATTCTCAGAAAATCTACGAGTAGTAGCACCGGGAATCCAACCCGGACCTCTGGATCTGTAGCTAGGAACTCTGACCACTAGACCACAGAGGCGGTCAGGTTTCGCCAACATTATTATTATTATTATTATTATTATTATTAT